GAATATAGCAGAATCAAATGCAATCGATGCCTCTATTCGTTAACACCACCGAGTTATTAGCTGAGCACAGAACAACAAATCGGTTACTTGCACAAACATTTACCGAGATATTGAACTAAAACTTTCTTCATGTATCAGTTAGTATTATTTCAGATAAGTGAATGTAATTTCAAAGTCATTCTCCAAGGTCGATTTGATAAGAAGACCGATATCTCTCATTTGTCTATGAAAGACACACATCAATGTTCTGTAACATCTTTTATGATACTTAAAGGAATTTCTATTCATCATTACCAGTAAACGCTTAGTCATAAATATTTATATTTATAATCTAATGTAGCTGATCAGATGGTTTAAACTGAACATAAGTCACTTTGTAGTTAGCCTTACTCTGTTCTTTGAAACGATTATCATTGCTTAGGCACTTCTCGATATTTTATATAAAGTATTAAAAGTTCTTTCAGTTTAGTAAGTATTTATGGATTAGGCTGTCACTGAATAGGTTAATATTATTAGTGGGAGAAGTTCCTTTGAAATTAGTTTTTATTACATAACACCAATTAGTTTATTGGATAATATCTGTATGTTCCATTTTATGTTTTAGACATTGTATGACAGTGTATGAGTGAAACTGCTGTTTCATCCAATTCAATTCTTTGTTTTAACTGTGAATCCAATTTTAACTACGTTACGACGAGAAAACATGTAATTTACAAGTCATGAGGAATGAAATTTTAGATTATGACTAGTGAATTAATAAATGTTGTGTTTCGTTCTTTCCTTCGGATGGATTCTAGAAGAATGACTACTGGCATATGTCCCTAACGAACTACGGGTGCATAATCACAATACTCTTATAGTTTGTCCTGTGCTTTCATTGTGCCGTCTCTCATTTCCCATTCACCTTTATCCTTATCTTCGGATATGGTAGCTTAATATAGTTGATATTTGGTGGCTTATCAAAATTATCTCCCCGATTCGTTGTACGAATCAGTTGAACTTTTTAAACTACTAAGGATCAAAAACTTACTTCAAACTTGTAACATAATATTGATGACTTCTCCCTCGACACGTGACTTTTCCTTGAGTGAATGAATAATTTAGTGTACAACGGTAATTATTTTCTAGTTGTCGGTCGTTTATAGAAACGTTTTATGAAAAGTTTAGGAAATCCCAACCTCAATACTTCAAATATTTGATTGTGAACCGATAAACGGAATCTCATTGTTTTAAGTAGATCAACTATATCCCAAAATGAAGCGTATTTCAATTACACATCACCATTAAACTTGACGAAGAGGAATATGCATGTCAACAATCACGATAGCCTAATATGCAGTGATTTAAGTGCTTTCATGCATCGATTTGTAACAAGGTCTTCTAAATGTCACAGTGCTATTATCGAAATACAGTAGTGTGACGAATTCGAGCAAAATATCTATGAAAACATAAATCACAGTTCATTGATGAATAAACATGATAGACAAGTGATAGGTTGATGAAAACGATAAGTAATTCGAGTTAGCGGTGTAAGTGAATTGATGAGAGATTGGCCAATCGTGGTGATTCTCTTAATCGCTATTTTTGAAGACTATCTGATGTACCGGGTATGAGGATATCATGGACGACATGAACTGACTGGAAGAGGAAAACGAGAACGGTGACAGATTCGCAAATCTATGTACATTCACCAATCTGTTTAAAGGCAGCATGATATCCCCACTCGAAGGTACATGGGTCTCATCGAATCACAGCAAAGAGAACCAAATCGATCATATTCGCATCAGTAAAAAATTGACAAGATCAATGGTAGACATGAGAATCAGGAGAGCAACCAATATAGCTTCAGATTACCATCTGCTTGGTGGTTGTCAAGATGAAACTGAAGATAAAGAAGCATTGGATGATTGAACAAACAGCCTTACAAAGGTTCACTACAGTCTTCCTTTGACGCACTGACAAACTCAACCGATTCAAGATAACTCTCAACAACAGGTTCCAAGCTTTACAAGTTCTACTCAAAGAAGAAGAAATTACGATAGAGGACAACCGAAAAAGGGATCAAAGAAGCAAGTGGAGAGGAGCATTAAAGTCGACAAGAAGAAATGCGTGAAAGAACTAGCAACAGCGTCGGAAAAAATGCAAAAGAAGGAAATATGAAACTATGATACAACGAAGAAACTAGCAGAGAAATACAGTAATGCAGAGAGCAGTCAAGGACAAAGAAGGCGAACCAATCAATGAGATTTAAGAACAGAATAACAGGTGGGTAGAACACTTTGAAGAACTCTTGAATAGACCAAACTCACTGAACCCATCGGACATCGAGGCAACACACACAGACTTTCCTATAGATGTCAAACCCACAAATTAAGCATAACCATCAGACAAATCAGGAGTGGGAAAGCAGCAGGACCACACAACACAACAGCTGAAGAACTGAAGTCAGGCATGAAAATAACCGCAGAGATGTTCTACGTTCTATTCATGAAGATTTGTGAGGAAGAACAAGTGCCGATAGACTGGAAAGAGGGACACCTCATCAAGATACCAAAGAAAGGAGGTCTGAGCAAAAGTGAGAATAACAGAGTCATCACACGACTATCATCACCAGGAAAGGTTTTCAACGAATTGTGGCTGAAGTGGATGAGAGATTCAGTAGACACTCAACTTCGATATCAGCAGGCTTGTTTCCACAAGAATCGGTCTTGTGTAAACCAAATCGCGGATCATCGTTGAACAATCAACTGGATGTGACTCGTCACTATACATCAACTCCTTTGATTATGAGAAAGCACTTAACAAAGTAGTTTGAAGAACATTATGGGAACGTCTTCGATACTATTGTTTACCGAAGAAGATGGTTAAAAACACACGGAACTCATACGACGAACTACACTGCAAAGTCGTCCATGGAGGACAGCTGACTGACGCATTCGAAGTGAGAGCCGAAATCAGGCAAAGCTACCTACTCTGCCCCTTCCTCTTTCTTCTAGACTATAAAGACATCGATATCTGACGGCAAGCATTGAATACAGTGAACAGCTTGGAAGCAAATGCTGACGGAAATATGCCTTCATAAATGTAATTTTTTAATTATATAACCAGCAAAAATACATCGCTTAACGTTAGTAATGTAAACATTCTGTTTATTATGGAAAGTGTTGATAAAAGCATTTTAATTTTACTTTCGGAGAAAGGATTGATCCAAGTTGACTGGATTATGACGACCCTCACAAGTGAGGGGAAGCACAGAATACAATTGACACCTTAGAAGCAACTGGACGATTTGGATTTCGTAGATCACCCAGCTATTCTATCAAATACACTCGAAAAAATGCAGGTCAACACAATCAGCGTAGCAACAGCCACTACATCACTAAGCCTCAACATACACAATCCAAAAAGCAAGATCGTCAAATACAACACGGTGAACACAACCACAGTCACACTTGATGAATAAATTCTGGAAGATCTGGCATCTGTCACGTGCCTGTATTTTCTGATATACTTCATCAAAATCATGGTCATATCTGACGGAGCAAATATGATAGAGAAATGATTGCTTAATAATACTATTTGAAAAAATATTAAGACTCTGAGGAATTTAATCAAGAATCATATGTTTTTTATAATTTTTATTGTCTGATTATACAGCCAAATTGATATCTTTAATTACAAGGTCGAAATACTTATGTGAATTTTGCTTCTTTTGATCGTACAATTATGTATGTTAACTAATTAGTTAAGAGTCAATAATGAACTTTATGAAATTGTCTAGTGAGTTTATTTTGAATGAGATTTAAATGATATTGAGTTCTATTTCCAAATGTTTGATCATATCCACGCCCACTCTCAACTTTCTTTTCTTTCTCCGTATCTCCGATACAACGTGTGTTGATGTGTTTTGGATAAGAGGCGTGATAATATGAATAATGTCCGGATTTCATTGTAATTCTTATCGACATAGTGACAATCAGAAGAACTGGAAGAAGAGGATTGTATGTTTCAACTGCACTTTTCAGGAAGTTATTATCGTTACATGTATCCGAATGTCATTCTTCACTTATACATTGGCTGTTCCTTTTTTTGACATTCAAATTCCAATATTATATCATGTAATCCCCTATTTGTGGTACATGTTGTATTTTTATGATGTATATAATTTCTTATGTTAGCAGATGAAAACAACTGGGAATAATTTTTGAAAATAAATAGTTGGATGTCAGTTCATCAATGAGTCTGACATTATAAATTTTAGCGAACTGAACTACTGGTAGATCCACTTTCAGATATTCACACCTTTATTTTGCCCATCCTCGATATTTTAAAGATCTTTCTCCAATACGGTTAGTAACCGAACTCCTTCACATACTGCATAGAACTAAATATTCTGTTGCTTCTTAACACCAAAAAATACTTCACTCACTAACCATAGGCTTAAGACATATCTTTAATTTATGATATTTAGGCAAGTTTGGTCTTATACATTCTACGAATCTCCCTGTTACTATTTAGGAATGTTTTGATTCATAAAATGGAGGAGAAACAATATGCACCAATTATCGATCACTCAAATAATTAAATAAAGTCGTTTTTCTTTAAAGGTTTCATCCTAGTTACTTACTAACTACGCCTGTTAGCCTTCATAGAACCTAGTTTACCAAAGATGGTTATTTAAAAAAATGTCCTACACTCTCTTGTCCAGTTCTTGTCGAGTGCTGTGTCGTTTTCCAAAGACCATTGACCATGTCTTGTAATTTCATTCTCAACTCCTTCTGTGTAGACTAACACTTCAAGTTACATTTTTTTATGAACAACATGATATTAAGAGAGTTTCTATGTTAATTTCACTTGTTATGTGAGACAATTCACGGTAGTGTTTATAAACAATGGTCATTTTCTGGCCAGCTTTTGCCGATTATTATTATTAAAAGAAAATATGTTTCAACACCGGACCTCAGCATAAATTTTTGTTATTGAAAAAATTAATTAATTAACGAAAGTTTACACCATATAAGTTGTTGCAAAATTTAAATATTGAAGCATTCATATCTAATTTCGGGTCTCAATATAAAAATAAAAACAAGATTTTCATAAGATCACAACACTGACTGATTTATTGTCTTGATTTGATTAGAAAAATAATAGGTACAACAAATATCCCGATCGATATCGCCATGGTTACATAATTATCTGTAGATCTGCTAGTACGAAGAAAGGCATTCGTCGAGAGACATATTAAACCTGATACCGCACTAGTAATGCCATTCAATGTACCAAAATAACGTATTGGGAATGCAGACAGAAGAAAGCTAATGAAGCAACTGAATAAGAGTGACCTTAATATAACCAAGAATACAAACGATGCATAAGAAGCTATAGGACTAGGTATAAACATCATTGCACTCAGAGCAACAGCAGAGAAAGCCAAAAGACCTTGTCCTGGGACTAGGCCAAGTGTTAGAGTATAATACATTTTATCGGGATTCGCTAAATCACGTTCGTTGGTGAGCATGTTCTTAATGCTCGTTCGAGCTCTTTTGAGACAGAAGTCAATCATAAGACCAGTAACTGGTGACAGTAAGAAACTCGACATGAAGAATGCTGAGGAAATACTTAACAAATGATCTGCAGTTGACTTGTCAGGATACGCATCATTTATGTGTTTTGCTAAGTGCGATAGGTAAAATGAGAAACGAAACAAACCCAAAGTAAACCAAAGATTAATCAGTAGGTATGATAAAGAAAAAACACAACTTAATAAAGATGGGTAACGTTTATCCAAAATTGAAGATATTTCTCCATAGATATCCATTTCTCCCGAACTTTCAATTGACGTTTTCTGTTACAAAACAAATATAAGAAAGACGAACAATAATAACCGTCAGTGGTGGGAGAATTGTGTTCATATCTGTATTAGATTCTAAGATTTACTTCGACTTCTAAACCATGCATTTCTGTCAAGTTGAATAGATAATGACAAAATAAAACGGAAAATAATACAATGTTCCATCATAGTAAAAATAAATGGGGGACTGTAGAAGATCAGTAAACTACGATGTGCATAACGAGCAAGATTCTGTTATTAGGAATAATGGCATTTCATACCTATAATTGAGATCTTCGGGAAAGCGTCTTCCTCTCATCAAAAATCCGTATTCACACTCAATTGGAATGAAAACAAATTGTATATGGTATATATAACTTGTGACAGATTTCAAACAAACGCGATCTGAGCAAAATAAGGAGTTCGATGATTGTATTGATTTTGTCGCACACTACAGTTTATTAGAATATGTGAAATGCCTACAAAATTTAAGATTCTGTCGATTCCGAAGTCCCGTCATCTTCACTTTTAGTGGTTTTGTTATGGATAGTTTCTACTGCAATTGAAACAAGCAGTTTAGTCTATCCTCCACGTGAAATAGCGCACTAATCATTTCATGAAACTATCATTTTGTATGTCAGAATATGATAAGTTTGAACTAAATCTACGCAGCACGCTTACGTGATTGCACAACTGAGGCTAAACTGACTGGTGTTATTCGTTGAAGTGTTTAGTAGAAGAACATAATTCTAAGTTAAACATCACTGACAAGGTTTACAACACCGAATGTGATTAGATTTTCAATCTAAATATATTCAGACTGGTTGCCTTAAAAACACAAATCTGTGTTGCTGTCTGCAAATATAACAATAGTTGATTGTCACTTACCTCACATAACTTTTCTTCTTCTGTGTTGATGGAGGAGAATTTCCCCATATCTTCAGATTTCTGAGTAAGGATAAAGAGTGCCACAAAACTGCCAACAACTATTGAGCCGCAAGCCAAAATAATAAACGACCATTTGAATGGGAATACAAGATAGGTCAACGACAACACATAAGCTACAACCGAACTTGAGTCGTACGCTCCAGACAAAAGCGATATACAAAGACCACGAAACTGTGGGAACATGGAACTGACTTGATGATTGCATATCAAGCTGCATATACTACTTAAAGCGACAAGTATACCGGCAGCATAGAATAGTGGCACTGTTTCACCAGTTGTAAATGCAAACATTACGGTACCAGTAAAGTATACTACAGCTGCCAGCAGTTTTAATATTCTCAGCCCCACCTTATCCATCAGTATCCCAGCAAATACAATAAGACACATTTGTGACACCATCCAAACCATGAAAACAACTCCGAACATATCATAATGATAAGAGCAGCCAGTTTCCGTACAGTTGTAAGCGTAGACGCCAACTGATTTGTAGACTGTGATGAGGGAATTGAAGCCGTAGTGATAACCACCAAAAAGAAAAACATCGAAAATTGCTAGCGCCAATCCGAGCCAACGGCGAATTTTCGGCGGGAAGACATTATCGAATTTCTGACCTGTAATAACGAGATAATTGGAATAACGCTGTGACAGTAATGATCATTTCTAAGTCTTATGTAACCGTATAAGTATAATTGCTGGAGTGAAAAACCTACGTAGATTTTCTAATGGGTGAACATAAGCGCTCAATGTGTACACAGTCCCAACTTGAATCGGTAAGAAAAGGCTGATACAAACATACAACAGTAATTCGATGTTGACGGTTTTTAAGAATGTTTACGAAGCATTTGAACATTGGTGACAAAAGCTTATACGGCCTGAATATCCTCAGTCAGTTAATCTTGTGAAATATAGGACCTGACACATGTGTGTGAGTCTGTTTAATTCTACATGCCACACAAGAATGGTCAGATAAAATATCATTACGAACATCAGAGTTGTAGAGGCGGTAATAGTGTAAGTAGTGGCAGAAAACACTAGTTGTACATTTGAGATGGTGAGAATGAATTCATAGAATAGATGAGGGATCTCAATAAATGTCTGGAATGTATAAACATCTGCTATATTCATTGATCTTGTTCATTCACTCATGGAGAAGAACAAGGTAGTCGTATTTTTACAAATCGAACACTTGTGTTATTCAAAGTCACATGAAACAAAAGTATAGGGTATTCGAAATATATTGTTAATCATTTGACCTAACTACCTCAGGAGAATAGTGGCAAAGGACATTTGATTGACACTGATCGTTTGCTCAGCTTGTGTATCGTATATTGATAGTATTAGGTCAAAATGTCCTGAACATGATTTACATACGTATGTTTATTGTAAGACTCCAACTCATTAGTCTTTCATCAAAAACTGATATCACTGGTTGTATTAGGATCGTTCAGCAGAGAATGGGTTGTGTAATCATAATTAGTTTATAGGAGAAGTCACCTTTATTTTTTAAGGGTCTTTTATAAATCATTCTAGACAAACTCAAAAAGAAATTCAATTTCAGGACATCATACATCCTAGTTACTTGTTGCGATAAGAGGCACTGGAGTTTAAATCTGACGTCTCAGTTTTCAAGCGTACTCTTCGTTTACTACTTGATGGTAATAATCAAATTGTGCCTTACATGCTGACAGATTATTAGCTTAGAGGAGGTTCAATTCATTATTTTTACTTCAAATTTAAGAAAAGTTGTAATTACATCTATAACTCTGTTCCAATCATACAAACACGTTGGCTAATATGTGTCCATATCCACAGAAGATTAAAAATGTAAATTGTACCAATTACTAAACTATTGAATGATTTTGTTAAGGTTTATTTCTGCAAGCTCGAATCCTCTGAAAGTTCAAGCGCAAAAATGTAACTTCACGGATACTTTAATTCAAATAAGTACCTATACTAATCTTAAAGCTCTGTCATTATAAATTTTTTTAGATAATTTATTTTGCACTGGTTTAATTGTTTTAAAACTCTTATAATTTAGTAAGGTCATGTTACTAACTTTTAAAGATGTTTCTATTTACCCATTAGAAATCAGTTACTGTTAAAAGTTAAATTATAAACAGAATTAATTACTTGTACTTCTATAGTACATGTCCAAACTGACCTACTTTCACGATCCTATTGGTACCATCTTCACTTTAAGAATTTTAAATTTTAGAAATACTATAGAATTATTTTATTGGCTGTCATGTGTATATAAATTGATTTTTAGCTTTTTAATTGCTACATATACCTAGTAAAAATCAAATATTGACTTCAGATAATTTGTAAGTGAAAGAGTAACAGAATAAAGATTATCTTGTCGAAACCTATAGTTTACAACCGAAATTTTCCTGAATTTCTCTTGTAAATGATACTGGATGAGAAACTAATTTAACTGCTAATATATGTTACGTATTTCATTTAAATGGGATTTCAATTTTCAGCATAGGAGTTCTGTATATAATTGAGTGTCATTGATATCACAAACCGAACTAAGTTAGGCATCCATTGAAAAATAGGAAGCCATTAATAGCTGTTCCATCTTAGTATGGTACTCCTCAGCAGCAATGATCCACGACTCTATCGAAGAATGTCAAACCTAGGACTTAAGGTTTTGTGTGCGTACGTTTCACATATAGACCAGAGTTGGAATTCAGTGGCGGATATTTTCCACGTTAATCAGTTAACGATATCATGTGTTCACCAGTGACTAATTTCAAGAGGTAAATCTGCAATCCTAGATACCATGACTAGTGTGGTTTAAATATTGTTGTGTGTGAAGCAGTTACATAACAAAGACAATAGAAAGTGATTGCACAATATCGTGAATTGCCTGAAGCTAAAGATACGATTGGATCATAGCCCAGTGGTCTAATAGTGAAAAATTCCTGAGACCATTAGCTCCATGTATCATTCTCATTATTATAGGCCCACAAGATTTGTGTTAACTTTATGACAGAAAAATTCCATCCCCTCACTTTGTCATTCATATATATGACCTTACGAATTACTCAGATATCATTGTAAATTTCTTATACATGTGTGCATAATTGTACGAATATATCTATGTACCAACTTGTATCTCCGTCACGGTTATAAAAGTTGAATTACAATATTTGCTGAGTCAGCGTATTACCGAACTATGACATTCTATATACATGTTAAATCGTTTGCCGTTTGTCTGAGGTTCAATATTAGCATATCTGAAATTTACATAACCTGAACACAAATCGAATTTGACACTAGTTATTTACGTAATATTAACATAATTTGTCGGCAGAATGTTTCCAAAGTATAAAGAATATAGATTTCAATACCATCATTATAATCCCGCCATTAGGGATATGACAAAGTCGTCGACGCACGATAATGGGCAGTCAAATAACCAGGAAAAACAAGAGCACATGTAATTTCAGATTCTGAATAGGTGTATAAAAATGCTTGAATTTTAAGGTGGGTAAAAATAGTTTCAGTAGTTAGTCAAATGTTTATGAGAACACGTTCTGACTTCATCAAAATTGTCATATGTATTGAAAAGTGAAAAAATAAAATGTACACCGTAAGACATTTGGATTTACAATCTTTACTTACAAAAGCGAACTAATGTCAGTAACTGAATTCGTGTTGTCTCGGTAGACTTCTCAGTCATGATGTAATAACATGAATTTCATGCGTAGTATTTTAATCATTTCTTATATGTTAATCCAACATGTGGATGACTCACTCCTCAATTCTTCAGCAAATCTATGTGACCCATCCACAGTACCGTTCTTACCTTCATGAGTATTCTGTGGTTGCTTCCAGTACGTTGCGCGGTTCCTTACTGTTGACGTTGATTATTTTCTTAACCATAATTTGTCAGAAGATTTGTTAAAGTCACTTATCTGAATGCATTAACGCTAGCAAAATGAGTCCACAGTATAGACGCATGAAAAGTGGTTTAGACAGTACGTCCAGAGCGTCTTGATAATCGATGACGACGAATAAAAATATGCGATGATCATCAGGGAAGTGATGTTAGCGGAGTAAAATAAATGGCATCAAACTGGTGGAATTCACAACCCAATTGATTTTATTGTGAACCAAAAAAAGTCAGGAGTCGTAAGATTGACTATAGATATCTTGAAAACTAAACTTTACTAGGCTTTATGGTAAATTAATTCTCAAAATAAAGTGTTGTAAGCATTCAATACTGACACTAGCCCCATTATTTTATTGAGACAGGCGTTCAAACGTCTACACCAGATCACGATCAAGCACACTGTTGTACGCATCCCTCGCATCAACTAATCAGTTTAGCTCATATATATCTTGACCCTTACATCCCTTCGAACTCCATAGCTGACTTCTGATTTGAACGTCTTTGGGATGATCGATTATGAAGGTGTTATCAACAACAGTTTTCTGATGCGCTGAATATCTGTAACAGCTTTGGTGGTGATTAAACCTGATCTGGTACACCAAACGATAAAGTATGAGTCTGTTCCTTGCCGTAAAACTACATATTTATATTTATGTATGGTGACATGACGTTTGTGCAGTCAGATTCTCTCACATATATAATTCTTTAATCGCATAGTATCAGAGCACACAAAAATCTGCTAAACATTAAGGCTCTCATACCTCAAACCTACAATCTAATGCCGTTCTGACCTAAAAGTATCGAAGACTGGTTCTACAGTGCAGAAACTGACTTCCACAACATGGTAAACTCAAGTTTTCCGGTCTCTTACACAATGAAGGCATAACCGCCCGCGATATACGGATACGTTACGCCACATATGTATACTATTGGTTATTCTGACCCTTAAAGTACCCTTAGCGTCGAGACATAACTGATAGAGAGAGGTTAACCGAACTCCTCTACAACATCGAATAGCAAAAGAAGCCCAATTATAGCAATATTGCTACGTATGAGGGGAATCATTGGACGACGAAATTTCAGCAAGTGAATCCTTAGACAACACATCCTACTTCACGATCCTAACTAGGTACAACTGAATCTTGTTCTACTGCAAAATACGCCATAGACAACTAGATCATCTACTGGGGATCAGTAGAATCAAATGTATGAAGGTTTGTACATAATTATAAGCATAAACTAGTAGTCTAGTAAGACTACTAGTGATCACACGATTTTGAACAACTGCCTGCCATCCACAAGCTAACTTGTTGGTATAACGATTTTGCTGTGACTTTATAGCCCGTGAGTTATCACGTAATCTATTCGCCAATCAAATTGCGACTTATTCGCTCTTATACTACTAAACCAATGACGTCCGACCGGTTTGATCAGCCTTGCGTCCTATTGGTCCGTTGCACGCCTAGCCCGGCCAGCTGAGTTCAGAACGCCAATAACAGCCTCCACTATGCGAATCATTTATTTCAAACATATTGAGTCTATACATCAACCAAACAGACCGCAACACGCCATATAATAGGAAATAACATTCATATACAAATAAGCCAAAAAGTGGCTATGAACGTGGGAGACAGTAGTTAATAAACTGAGTACAACCTATGAACAGTAAATCGGACAATAATAATCTATAGGTCAAAACGAAGCTTATAATAAGGGGAATATAGATATACATAATCAAATTACTGAATAGTTATACCATAAGAATATATAGATAATATTAGTCCATCAATAGGTCTCAGAAGTTACTCGTAATTTAATTTTTGCTGGGATATAACACCTCCTCTTTATTTTGAAGATCCGAAGTTTAGATCCTGATTTTAAAAAAATATGTGTAACTTTAAAATCTCCGACATTATCCTCCTCCACGAAATAATGTCGGGTCCTCATATCTCCAAGTTACAGGTAATATGACTTTATTTAAATCATGTTTCTAGCATTGTATGGAGAATCCACTAGAAATGACTAGATGGTCATTTGATTTGAGGTAATCAGGATTTGGTTCTTCTGAAACACTTTCTTCAAATTCATTACGAGTCTCATTAACGAATACCATGACGCTAGGAAAATCAACATCTAACAAAATTGGATTAGATTTTTTATCATAATTTGGTTCAGCCGACATATCTTTCTCATTTTTATAAATTTCACCAAAATTATGTGCATTATTATGAGAACCCATGCCTGGTACATTGTCATGAGAAATCGGATAAGTTGATTCAATATAAATTTCTGTCTCCCAATGATTTTGAGCATCATTTGGTACAAACGGGTTCATCATTCTGCTCCAGTTATTTTCTGGATATGGGTTCACACAGCTTTCTCGATTAATATCACATGAACCATGATTTTGTACTAGCTGAAGTTTATTTTCAGAGTTAGACAGGGCCACTAGTGCTTCATTTAATTCTGGAATCTGGGCTTCATCTACAAGATCTGTTTCTTGATCATTTGGTATTGTCACAATTTCATGTGCATTTACCACGATATTGTCTTGCTGTAAGTCGGACAATTTACCAATATTACATTTTGCTTCAGGTATAAAGGGATTTGAACCCTCCACAGGGCGTGCTTCTGAAATGGCCATTACTAGATCATTGTCTGCATCATGAAACACTGCTAAAAACTGCTCCAAGTATTTTCTGTTGAATGATTAACATCTGCTGCTGCTTTAATAATAGCTGCAACTCTTCTAAAGAAACTGTCATTCTTTTTTCTGCTAATAATATTAAAATTTGAAATTTTCCCATATTGTAAATTTAGAACAACATATATAAGCGAACATTATTGTTTTCAATTAGATCCTCATCAGGCTTTACTCTAATATACAGTAATATTTATATGCATATACGAAATTATTAA